CGAATCGGTTGATTAAAACAGTTTAAACAGATTTGAACAGTTAAGTGTAATTCAGTTTGCAAACAGAATATTTTAGTGTTTTTTACAAAGTTATTAATAATTCAGAAGAACAGATTTAATGGCAGTGCCATACAGGAACTAATGTACCATGGAAGTACACCTTGTAAGAGCCAAATGTTTATGTTTTTCCTTTTTGTTTTGGTGGCACAGGTGTATAGCTTTACCTGCGTCTCAGGTGATGGTATGTGGGTGTGGTCACAGTCTATTTACCTGATGTCGGTGTTTGCAGCAGGTTGTTGGGTGAGTGGTTTGTGGGCAAACTTTTCTGTTGACTGTCATTTTTTGGCACACCAGTTAATCCATGCGCTAGTTGTAAATTGATTGAAAGCGCAAATGTTTGTTTTTGTTTTGTTCTTAAAATAAATGCGCAAAGTACAAGTACGACTCATTATGGATTATTGGAGGCGCGTCACAGGGACACAACCAACTCAGCCGGCCGCGGCTTTATTTACGGCTGAAAGTCGCAACACACCTAATATATAATATACTTAGCAAACAGGCACTTGGATTATATTTTATAACAGTTCCCAGATATGTACCCATGTTTCGCTGCTCGACCCGCAGCGCTGAAGTTCCTTGGATCTGACCATCACCTCTCTGCCTGCTGATGTCATCACTGGAAACCTGTGATGTGAGATGTGAACTGGGTTGGTAGTTTGAGTCTCTTCTGGCCTGAGCTTATTTGATGTTCTGCTTCTCTCAGCTGAAAACAGTTTGCATCCACACTTGTGCTTTTGTTTTTTTTTATTTGAACACATTATAAATTTCATGGAAGTCTGTAGTTTACAAAAAAAATCACCTCATCCTAATCCAAATATAACCAGCTGCTTCAATTAAAAATATTTGTGGTATTGGAGGGGGAAGAGGAGACTTTAAACACATCCAAGGTGAGACTGACGTGACCTTGTTGGTTCTGCAAAATGATTCAGGTCTTAGTTGTTGTATTCCTGACTAGGATAGAAGAAGAGCAGCAGACAGTGGATAGAATTCCAGAGGGAAAGTGAGCACTTCAGGTGAGTCGCAGGTAAGTTCTGCAACCTACCTGAGTCAAACAGCCACAGTCAGTAAGTTAAACTCCTTGTAGAGATGCAGGTTAGAGAAGTTGGGAATATCTGACAGGCTTCAGCCAACGAACTGAGCAAACAAGATCAGAGAGACACGAACAAAATACGCAGTTAGAAAGGAGGCGTGTTTACCACCATCACAGAGACAGCAGCAGAACCAGCCGGTCCTTGAATACCAAGAAATCATTCAACAATGCACAGCAGGCATAGAAGACCCAAGAAAAGACTCCACCTACAGGTCGACCTGCAAGGACACACCAGCCACATCTCCACCCGAGAGCAACAGCAACAGGAAAAAACCCACAGGCTGTGGGCACCGTAATAAATTATTATCCACAACCTGAATCTGGACGTTCAGCTTCCTGTTTTTGATATTCCCACACAGGAGGCTCATGACAGAAAACCACAAAGTTTGATATGAGAATGTGAAGATATCGTCTTCTAGTTTCTTCTTTTTTAAGATGTGGCCAAAGAAAAACCTGATCAGGTCACTGGCGAACCACTGAGGGTTACTCAGTGGTTCGCCAGTGACCTGATGGATGTCAAAGATTAACTGCGTGCTGACAGACAAAAGTAAAAAAAGAAGTATTTATTTCTCCTCTTTCAAGAAAAAATAAAAGAGGAACCAGACAATGTGCCGTTTCAATTGCATCACAAACCACAAGTTTCTGTGTGACTTTACCGAAGACCATGAGAGGAAGAAACGGGGAAGTGAGACAAAGAACGGCTTTAAAAAGTTTCAGTGTTAATTTAAATGTTGAATATCAGCATTTTTGAAAGGCTGCTTTGATAAAGTTAGGACATATATGTATAAATATCCTAGTTCAGTCTATTCTTCTGTATATAAGATTACAGAGATTATTATAATCCTCATCATCATCACCATCATCTCCGTAATCTGTAATAATATTAATAAGATGCAGTTCCTCTAATGTCCACTAGAGGCTCCAGCAGCGGAAATAAACCTGTTTCCCTCCATTACAAAGGGCTTCGTGTGAGCATCAGTACAGGGTGAGCAGGCTGACACAATCTCGCATCCACACATGCAGCCAGTTTAGAATAACCAGTTATAAAAACAAAGACATGCTGAGATGTTCTGAACATCTCTACTCGGGGGTAGTGGAGATATTGAACAAAGGATGATGAAGATGGAAAAGAGGAAGACCACAGAGGAGGAGGATGGATAGTGAGCAGGGTGATGTGACAGGGGAGGATGCTGGATGGAGGCTGATGATTCTCTGTGCCTACATCAGTGTGATGTGCTGCCCCGAACAGAAAACACACTTTAGAAAGTTGATGAGATTTTTACAACAGAAGAGGTTTTTACTGTATTTCTAAGAAAGGAAGAAATCTAATTCTGGATTTTATCATTTAAGACGCCCGCTCTCACTCCGAGGTGCACTATAATGACGATCTGTCAAGTCCCTCGGTGTTCGTGAGGAACACGAAAGGTGATCGTCTGCGTTCTTACGCTACGCGCTGGGTTATGGATGAAATCCAGTAGAATGACGCTCCCGCGGTAATCCACGTTCCAGCCATGTATTCTGTGTGCAGTGCTTTAACTTACCACCAGATGGCACTGTTCACTGTGACATCTAAAGGACGAGGCCCAGCAAAGAGTAGATGACCTTTGCTCACGTGGAAACAGGCAGCAGCAGTGGTACAATCTGCTCACAGTCTCCAGTAAAATAATCTTTTCAAAAACAGATGACTCTTGTTATTTATCAGAATGTTTTTATGGCATCAGTGCTTCTCATAGCCCAGGTTCAGGGTTTATTGTTTATGGTTCGTCACGCGTTTGTGCTCTTCCCTCAGGTGTAGCTGATCTATCCTGATGAACTGGGAACCAAAGAAAGTGAGCAGGAAGTTGTGCTGCCTCTTTTCACACTCCCTTGTTTTCAGTGTGCATGGTTGTCCTGTTTATGGAAACATCACCGTGGTAACTTGTGCTGCAGATGTATCCTGCTCTGTCGCAGAATAGATTTGAGATTATGACATCAGCACATAAGAACGTCTTCCATTGGTTCTCTGGAATCTCAAGAATGGCATCAGCAGAGCTCAGAGGTACAAAGAGGGTGCACAGTTTGTAGAGACTGTCTAAAGTCACAAAAAACCACTGACTCAAAATAATTAATGAACAAGTCACATGCTTTTTTGATTTTGAGCACGTTAGCTTAGACATGCCACTCTTCTGCAAATAGACATGTTCATGTCTGTGACTGGTCATATGCTGTAGACTCCACCTCTAATCATAGGCGGTGATATTAACAAACACACGACAGACACATGAATTCACTGACCGTCAGTAATGAAAAGAAACGGCTGCTGCATATTCAGTCTCGTTAATGTGATTGTTGAAGGTGTGAGATTGCACTGATGCTTCATCGGTGCATCATGAGGAAGACGTTATTTAAAAGATCAAGGTCAAAGGTAAATGGCTGCAAATAACTTTGTTGTTCACAAAACTTGTGCATATGATTTTAAAATTGACAATTTATATTTACAATTAAGGTTATGACATATGATTCAATAAACATGTTTGTGGTTGTTACAGTAAAAATATAACATTATCTACTCTGATTTTATGATTTTTGTCTGATTTTAGATCAGTTGTGTTACTACAGTAGTCAAAATGAAAGCATGACTGCAGATTCAGACACGTGAGGTTGTGCTGATGAGACCAAACAAGACAAAGTAAATCGTTTTTAAAGGTGAAATGTGGAGAAATCATCAGAAGTAGTTAAAAATGGCCGATTACACCCTGGACCCCAGAGGGTTAAAATGTTTTTTTCTGCTTCAGCAGATGCAGAATTCATAATCCTGATGGTCTGATTGCTTTACAGGATGTATTGTAATAGAATAAAACTTTAACCTTTATTCATCTTTTCACTTTTTCCTTTGATCACATCTACATCAGTGCTGCTCCTCAGCTTCTGCTGTCTTTTAAAATTCTGACATCATTCTCTCTGTTGCACTTCAGCCTCACACTTCGGATGACAGGTCGTCTTTAATCCCAGTGTGTGTGTGTGTGCGTGTGTGTGTGTGCACACGTGCTGCAGGTTGTTGGTGTTCTGTATTGAGAGGTTGAGTCGCAATTACAGTAAACAGTATCCACACAGAAAGCCTGTGTGTGTGTGCGTGTGTGTGTGTGTGTGTGTGCGTGCGTGTGTGTGTGTGCATGTGTGTGTGTGTGTGTGTATGCTCTCCTGCTGGCACAGCTAACACGGTATACATGAGCAGCATACAGCCACTGGCATGTAGTCTGCAGGGGATGTGGGAAGTCGAGAAAACCCAAGGGGGTTTCATCTCGGTTTCCCCACACGCACACTTTTTACAGTGGGTGTCACTCCCCTTAGTGTTCTCGGGCACACA